CTCAATTATTTGATGTTGTTTTATCTTGGCTATGAGAATCCTGGAGTTATGATGCAAGGTTACCATGACAATGAATATGTACAAATAGATGATTAAGAGTAGGGGGAATGCTGAATGTTGAGAAACACATTAGCATGTAAATTCCTTCCAGTGAAATCTAAAAATCTTGCATGTAAAATTTTCTGTTATTTACAAAAATATGGAAGAAAGATGTGTATGTCACATTGTAAACAATGTATTTCTATTGTTTATGTTAAATGACATGAGCAACTCGATATGCTGCTCCCAAGACTGCTTCCTTAATATTATCCTATTTAAAATGATGACAGATTCAGACTGGATGCATTTCCACAGATGATGTGGCAAGTGTGTTAGTGTGTGTGTGTGTGTGTGTGTGTGTTGTGAATAAAGTGTAAGTTGGGCAACATTTACCCATTTATTAGGATGAAAGTCTTTTCTTGGTTGCCGTGAAGGTGATATTAAAGTATCAAGTACTTTAGAAATATAATTGCCCAAGAATAAACTTTGCCAGCTTTTTGGACTCAATGTATTGGTGGTAATTAAGACCTTACTTCAAAAATTCCAATGTACTGATATTATGATGTGCACTAAAGGAAGGAGACTACATTTGAATACACATTTTAAAATACTACTACAAATAAGGAATTGAAATATTTGATTTATTAACTTTTTTGTAGAGTCAAAAACTTGGAACCAAGAATTCAAAAATTCTGTTTTTTTATTAGAGGGTCATTTATTGACTTGCAAGGCCTCTGACCACTCCTGGCTTTCTGAAACTGTTTCTTGAGGCAAGGTAAAGATCCTTGCCATCTGATGAGAATTCTTTAGAGCTGAGTTATCAAAAAAAATAGTATTGTGAGTCATATAGATGATACAAAATATCTAGTCATTACATTTAAAATGAAGATAAGTAGGTGAAAATAATTTTAACAATACAGTCTTGGACTACTTAGCAATGCACATATATTAAGAAATATATTGCTGGGTGATTTCACCACTGTACAAATATTTAACAGTACACTGGCATGAACCTAATGATATAGCCTACTGCACAATTAGGTGTGCCGTGTTGCCCATTGCTTCAGGACTACAAAGCTGAGTAGGGTCTACTGTACTGATTACTGCTAGCCATTATAACAGAAGGTAAGTATTTGTGTCTGTAAACATATCTAAATGCTAAAAGGTACAATCAAATGTGGCATAATAGATAAATGAGATACCTGTATAGAATGTTTGTCTTGAATGGAGCTGGAAGTTCATCTGTGCACTGGCTAAGTCAGTGAATGTTGAGTGAATATTATCACTGTGTGCCACTGTAAACTATAAACTCTGGACACTCAGGCTATACTAGACTTATATAAGTGTCTTTCTTTCTGTAGTAATAAATTAGCCTAACATTCTTGTACTTTTTTTAAACCCATAAATTTTTCTCTTTTCTTGAAAAACTTTTTGACTTTTGTAATAATACTTAATTTAAAATGAAAACATATCTTACTCTTAAAGAAATAAACTTTTTTTGGAAGCCTTAAGATTTGTTCTTTTTCTTTTTGTTAACATAAAGAGAACCAACTTGATGTATTTCATAGATAGAACCTAGGAAGGTAACCATGGGAGTTAATATAGAATAAATAAATGTCTAGGAGTAACACTGATGTGATTTGAATATTGTCTGTTGCCTTTGTCTATTTTCCTGCGAACAGTGGTCTTTCCACTTTTTACTTGAACATGAGGCCTAGTACATTAAGCCTGTGATTAATAAGCAAACTGGAAGCATGGATGCTTTTTCCTTTTTAAGACATGCTTTATTCATTTGAAAAGCAGAGTTACACAGAGAGTGGGAGAGACAGGGGAAGAAATCTTCCATCTGCTGGTTCACTTTCCAAATGGTCTTGATGGTTGGGGCTTGGCCAGGGGGAAATCTGGAGTCAGAATCTCCCTCTTGGCTTCTCAAATGGGTAGTTGGGACCCAAGTGCTTGAGCCATCTTAGATTCCTTTTTTGGTGCATTGGCGGGGAGCTAGATGGAAATAGAGTAACTGGGCCACAAACCACTGCTCATATGGGATGCCAATGTCACAGGTGGTAGCTTAGCTGGCTGTGCCAAAAAGCCAGACCCTATACTTTTTTTTTCTGTCTTAAAACTTATTTAACTTTTAAACCCTTTTTGCTAAAATCTAGACACAACAAGTCACATTAATGTTAACGTAGGCCTATATCAGATCAGAGTTAGTAATATCTGCTTTCTAGTTCCATATCTTTTCTCACTGGAAGGCTTTCAGGTGAGACAAGCTGTAGTCTCTTATGATAGCAGTGTCTTCCTTTGGGCTACGTCTTGGCTGACCTCTTGAAGCTGCTTCCCAGTTAATAGCAACCATCATATGTATGTTTATGAACATTCTAAAATAAGTATAAAATGTAATATAGTATACACCTAAAACTATTTTCATCAATTATTACACAGTACACGCAGTTGCACCTGTGACATTTTCCTTCTGCTAGCGATACACTGCTTTCACTTGCTCTAGCTTCATGATCAACAAGAGAGCTATGCTGTCACCAAGCAATAGAAAATTTCCAAATCGCTTATAATCTTACAAGACGACAATTGTGTGTGCAGTCCACCATTGACCAAAATACTGTGGATCACATATTTGTATTTTTTTTTAGAAACTTACTTATTTTTATTGGAAAGGTGAATATATAGAGAGGAGGAGAGACAGAAAGATCTTCCATCTGCTGATTCTTTCTCCAAGTGGCCGCCAGGGTGGGAGCTGAGCCAATCCTATGCCAGGAGCTGGGAGCCAGGAGCTTCTTCTGGGTCTCTCATTTGGGCACAGGGTCCCAAAGCTTTGGCTGTCCTCTGATGCTTTCCCAAGTTACAAGTAGGGAGGTGGATGGGAAGCAGGGCCACTGGGACATGCACCGGCACCTGCGTAAGATCCTGGTACATGCAAGGCGAGGACTTTAGCTGCTAGGCTACCGTGCAAGGCCCCACATGTTTGTATTTTAATACAACGTGAGCAAAATCTCACCATCTGAATATGTAAGCAGTGAGAAATAGTAATACGTTTAACATTCTCACTTTTGTACTTAGTTTCTTAAATTGGATAAAATTCAATTGGATCTAGACACATTGCAAGTGCTCAACATCCACATGCAGCTACTGGAAACCTGGTTGGCAATGCACCATTCGACTTAGAGGAAAGCTATCTAGCTTCTTGAGATAATAACCCTGATTTTTTTTTTTTTTTTTTTTTTTAGAAAATGAGAGCTTTTCAATTTGCAGAGGACATTGCTTACTCTATTAGAGGCAAAAATAAATATGTGGAGAGTAAACACCCGACATAAGCATGATTCCCACAGTTGTACCGTGCTCACATCCACTACCCTTAAAAAAATCTCCACAATGCTTCTGAGCAATGGGGTGCAATGAAGTTGCATTCGCTTTGGGCACAAAGTTCTTGTCTTTGGGTTGAACGTCTCATGATTCAAGAGCAGGTAAGAATGATGTGCAGTTGCCCAACAATGAGCAAGTCAAGTCACACAAAATATAATGTGTCCTAGCATTTTCTTGCCTTTATTTTTAAAAGCATCTGTTTTGTGGGTGTCTGGAAGGGATCAGACGTGTCCCATGTCTCCTTTTTTTTTTTTTTTTTGTTTGATCAGGGATGAAATGAGAACGAAGTCTGTTTATGGTCAGAAATGCTCTATTGCTCCGATGTAGCCATGGAAGAGACCCCGAGGCTCACTCTCCCGCCTGAGTCCAGTGCGCCGCCCCAGGCCTGTGCTCTGTGACAGTGAAGACCGAGGCTTTCCCAGACCTCGGAAAGAACCTGCTTGCTAGTGAGTGCCCCGCAAGTCGTCTCTTACTGTAAAGCATTTATCATGTTCCAAGCACCCCATTGCAGCAGTAAGAGTGTGTTCTTGCTTTTACGAGTGGTGTGTGTGTGTGTCTGTGTGTGTGTGTGCGTGCGAGCTTACATGGATCAAGTTAAAATAATCCCCTCTAAAGTTTAAGTGACAAAAGTGAATTGACTTTAGGTTCATTTTCATTGGTTGGTAACGCTGCCCTTTCTATTGCCAACAATTACCCCTTTGCTAACAAAGTTCTAGGGATTTAAACAGTATTCAAACAGGTTTCTAACAGATTAAACCATTTTCCATCTGCCCTCAGTCTGGGTGCTGGCTTTTTTATTTTCCCCCCTAGCTCTTCAATTGTTCCAACTATAGCTGCTGAGCTTGGATTGCTCTATTGTATGTTGGAGATGGCCACGTCATCTAGTGCAGGTGGTTCAGCTCTAGTCGCCAGGTAAGAGATAAAGTTTGCTAAACCAGAGGTAGGGCCCCCTGACAGGCGGTCGATGAAAGGCTGTTTCCAAGGAGGGACAGAGAGGGCGCCTTTTCACAGCCTCGTGGGCAGCTAGGACATGTCAGTGGGACAGGCTGGCAGCAACAGCGGGGGGGATTTCTCACGGCGCAGCCTGGTTATGTTGAAGGACGCAGCTGGACAATAAATAACCTCCGAGAGTTAAGAGTGTGGATCTTCTGTAGGGAGATCACAGAGCTGATCACCAGGAAGCCCTTGCCGCTTAATTGTGGCTGAAGTTTCCTCACGTCTCTTGTCCCAGACTCCCTTTTAGAGCATCTAGTCTTGGGGGCTCCGCGTCATTGCCCCTTCCGTCCTCGCCCCGGCTGTGGGCGCTCTCGCTGCCCCGCGATCCGGCCGTCTCTGCCCGCCGGGCTCGGAGCACGGGGCCGGGCGGCTGTCAGAGGGCGCAGGGGGCGGAGGCGCGGCAGGGGCGGGCTCTGTGGCCCCCCACCCCCTCCCAGCGCGGCTGTCAGGGCCAGTGGCAGGAGCGCCGCGCACCGCCAGCCGCGGGGGCCGTGGGATGGGGCAGGCAGAGGAGGGGGGCGCCCGCGCCGACTAGAGCCAACTGTACACTGGAACAGGGTGTCGGGGCTGCGCCTTCCTCCTGCGCCCCGGGAACTTCAAAGCGGTCCGCGCTGTCCCAGCTACCTCGCTTAGCTCTGGGGCCTCGCAGCCCCGGCGCGGCCGCCTGGTGGCCATGACCCTGGCACTTGGTTCTGCGCTCCGCCAGGCTCTCCTGCTGCTCGCTGCGGCCGCAGAGCTCTCGGCAGGTATGGTAGATTTTTTTTTTAAAACTCCACGCTCCTTAAGGTGGGATTTGGGGGCGGTTTTTGATTGGGCACAGGGTTGGGGGAAGGAGGGCGCAGCGAGTAAGCGGGTCTTTCGCCGGGTGGAGGGGGAAGCGCCAGTTGGAATGCTGGGGCGCAGGAAGGGGCGCAGCCTGGGTCTGGACAGTGAGGGGTAGACAGGTGTGTTGGGAACCAAGCCTCCAGTAGGAGGGGAAAAGGCGCCAGGAACTTTCAGGTAGGGTAAATAGGGTCGAGGTGGTGACTCATATGGGGGCAGTTTGCAGCAGGCGGAGTAGGAGAACGTTCGTGGGTACGCACACGGTTGGGAACTCGGTGGCACCGTGAGTTCACCCTGCAGAAACTGGGAGGGCTGCAGGTGCACCTTGGAGACGCTCGGTGCTGAGTGAGGCTCCCTGAGGGTGTGCAAGGAAAACAGAAAATGGCACGGTGGCTGTGGGGGCGGCGGTTTAGTCTGCTAAGGAGGTGAGGGATGCCCCCAAAGCTGCAGTTGCCAAGCTATGGAGGTGGGAACGTGAGTCTGGGTAGTTTGTAACGCCTATTGCTTTCGAGGTACGATCTTTACTGAATTTCAGGGGGAAAAAAAAAATCTGGCAAGCACTCCAGCGTATCTAACAGGTCTGTGCTTTGATAGCCTCAACAGAGCGCTCGACCCAACCTAGAAACCACACGTTTCCTTATAGTGTTGACTAGAAACGGGGGTATATGCGTCTTAGGTAAAATCAGAGTGTGCCATGAGCGGCACCTCTTTAATTCTAAAACTATTTTCATTGCAAGATTGCCCTGCACAGAGCAGGAACAGATCCCTAACTCACTCTTTCAATATTTCAATCAGACATTGAATACATTTGCACACAAAAACCTGGTGTTTTTCCATGGAGCCGTACTTTGTCCGAAGCTGATTTTGATGCATTTTTGTTTTCCCAGATGACAATCTGCTTGACATTAATAGCTATACCCGGGGTGGGTAGTTTCCCTTGTAGTGACATGTGCAGGAGAATGTTTTGAATAGTATGATTGCTGTCACGTTCAGATTTCAGTGTTTCAGATGGTGCGGGAGAATCACTACATGCAATATTCTAGGATAAAATGTGATTATTGGACAGGATTAATTGGTGACATCTGAGGATGAAAGCATTTCAGTTGCCTCTTACGAAAGAGGAAAGATGATAGAATAAAGTGAAATATGTGTATTTAGAGTTCAGAAGTGGGATAAAGAGTCCCATATGGAAAAGTTACACGATACAGGTGAAAACTACTAATTTGAGTTACTGACAAGTCTCTTCATCATGAAATAAAGTTTAACTATATGTTAGTGATGATATATAGGAACTAGGTGGGGGGGAGGAATTGGGGAGGGGATAAGGGAAATGCCAGGAGCCTATGGAATTGTATCATAAAATGATAATAATAATAATAATAATAATAATAATAAAATGTAAAAATGATGAAATAAAGTTTGCCATGTCCTTCCTTCCTCACTTGCCTAGAGATCACAGCTTTGGCTGGGCACCTGTGAAACTGTTTCCACCAGCTATCTGCTCCATCTTTTTTTATTTGAGAGAGCTAATAATTTGGTTGTGGACAATTATGAGAAAGAAATTTAGTTATTATTTTTTTGCCCTGGTTTAAAAACTACGACGTATTAGATGACGGAGTCCTTAGCAAACTGCAGACCTATGGCCTGAAAACATTAGAAAACATGTCCCAGTGTGTTTTTGAAAAGGCAAGGTTTGGGCATTGATATGCACAAAAGACATGCATCAGTCACTCAGATTTGATTGCTTCCTCAAAATTTGAAATATAAGCAAAATTCATGCTGTAGAGGTAGTGTGTCAGTGTAGTACAAAAGTTCTTATCAAAGCTGAATCTATATAATGAATTTTCCAATCAAATGCAATCATTTCAAATCTTAAGAAACTTTCACACTTTGAAATTCACATAAACAATGTCTATTGTTATCTCCCATATTACTAACTTTTAAACAAATCATTGGTTGTGTGATAGAGGAATGAATTCAAGGAAGGAGTTTGCTTTATATTTACATCTTTACAAAAAAAAATCACTCCATATTTATTTATTTTTGTCTGAAAGGTAGATTTTACAGAGAGAGAAGACTTTCCCAGGCTGTAAACAGAAAGCTGGATTGGAAGTGGAGCAGCCAGGACATGAACCAGCACCCATATGGAACATAGAGGATTAGCATGCCACCATGCTAGCCCTATACTTTCGTGTCTTAAACTGATTTTGTCAAATGGCTACCTGCCTTATTTTTAGCCTGATCACATTTTCAAAGTATGTGGTTGTCATATTGGCCATTCCTGAGTATGTTTCTACCATTTTTGGAATATTTTATGGGAGCTTAACTTAATAAAACTGTATATAGGAAGTACTATCATCAAATTTGTCTCAGCTAGGCACCAGGAATAAGAACTTAAATTTCTGAAAACAATCAACAAGCAATCCCACCTTGCTGGGCGTGCCCTTATTCAACATATCTGTCCTCTAGGAGTGATGATTATCAGTAGCAGCGAAAAGCTTACCTACCCACTTGAGAATCTCAAGAGGGACAGAGGGTGGGAAATGAGAAAAGTTATTTATTGGTCTATATTAGATTTAAAAAGTTAGTCTGTTCTGAGTTGTTCTGTCTAGGTTTTGGATTCCTTAATGTTTGATAAGAAAGACCAACCCTAACCTTACAATATTAATCATGTGTACAAAACAATTAAATGGCAGGAAATGTCCTAAGGTTCTCTTCTTTGAAACTGTGATTTAGAAATTATACAGTCTGGCACATTTTGTAGTCTCTTGTGATTTTATGAAATTTCTTTGTCTTTTGATTGGGAAATAATTATTGAGAGTCTAAAAAGCCATGTAGTACTTCTCTAACAGTCAAGGCTAAGTGTTTCCTAATTAACTGGGCTAGAATTGGAGGTTTCAGATGGTTAGAAAAAGCCCCAAAACAACAGTGGCTTCCATGAGGTTCCCAGTACTATGCTTAGAAGTGAAAGTGAGAGCCTGGGAATGAGTACATAAGTGCCAAAGTATTGCCATCTTTTGCCCTTCTTTAATCACAGTTATATTCAGTTGGCCCAAATGTCAAGAGGTTCCCTTGTTCCAAGGAAGGACTTGTTGGTCCAGGAGAAATTTCGTGCAGAAGTTCCAGGGGGTTTCTTTGTTCATTTAGTGAACTGTCAAAACCCATTATCTAGCCTTAAACTTACAGGTATGTAACAGCAAATTCCTTGGAATCACTGAACCCATACAAAAATGAAAAGATCTAAATGTGGGAGAAAGCAAGGAGTGAAGAATGACGGTGAATTTTTTGTCCTAAGCAATGGAAGAATGGTCCCTTCCTAGGGTTGGACAGATTGCAGGGGAACCTGGTCAAGGGAGAAGAAGGGATCATGGTGGAGAGTAGGAGCCAGATGAGAAAAACTGTGAGACACTGAAGTGAATATGTGAAATAGGCAGTTACTTTTATCTGAATTGAATTCAGGGCTTTTTTTTTTTTTTTTTTTTTTTTTTGGTCTGGAATGATAGTTTAAGTCTGTGAGCCAAGGGCATTTACAGATAAGTTTCAAAGAGATTATTAAGTGAGTTCATAGATCTAGCATATCAAGGACAGAACACACAGTGAAAATGAATTTCAGATAAGCAACAGATAACTTTCTAGTAGAAATGTGCTATACATATGACATGGGATATACTTATATATATATTAAAAATTACTGATCACATCCAGATTACCTGAGAATTCTATACTTTCATCTGGCAACCCAACCTAAAGGAAAAATTAAGATGAACCCTTCCTGACATTTCTGCCTCTTTCAGCAAAAGGTGTTTTAATAGGTGCCTACCATTTTCTATGACTTGTATCTCAGCAACTTTCATTCTAGCTGTTCACAGTGCCGCTGCCTGTCCCTGTGTGAACAGGAAGAGATACCTAGTCCCTTCTAATCACTCAAGTATCTCAACATGAAAAGATGGAGGAAAAGCAGAATAACTTTTTCAACTTGCTGGAAAAGATTGCTAGATGAAAGCTGTTGGTTTTTCCAAAATTTGCCGTCTTTGGAAAGTGATTGTGATTCTCAGAATCATTTTTAGAATGTTTTTCTTGTGAATAAACTTTCATACTTTTTCTCTTTTAGGGGAAATGCTTTCAAACAGCAGATAAGACCCACTTTAGTGTGATTTTCTTGGTAGGAACTTTTATCTCTTATTGTAAATAGGAATGTGAAGGGTAAGATTGGCCAAACAGTTAACCTGAAGGTAAAGACAGATATATCCCTAATTGATGTTCCTGGGTGCAAGTGCTGGCTCTGCTGCTGACTCAGCTTCCTGCTAATGAACACTCAGGGAGGCACCGGTGATAGTTTGAGGGGCTGTGTTCCTGCTATCCAAGTGGGAGACCTGGAATGAGTTCCTGGTTCCTGGCTTTGCTTCCACTCCACATGCAATAATTGTGGGTATTTAGGGGGAGGGAACCAGTGAGTGGGAAAGCCTCTGGATCTGGGACTGTGTCTGTCTGACTCACGAATAGGTAGGTCTGAGAGAGAGAGAGAGAGAGAGAGAGAGAGAGAGAGAGAGAGAGAGAGAGAGAGAGACAGAGGAAGAAATCACATAGAATGAGTGGTGGGGAGTTTATTGATTTCTACAGGATTTGTTAATCTGCCACAGTTTGAGGTATTGAAGCATGTTCTCAACACAGCAATTCAAGCCCTTTGGGAAAGGGGCAAAGGTACATAAATATCAGCAAGGCTACTTGCTTCCTGACTTGGCCTAGTTGTAGGCACTAACTTATTAATATCATCTTTATTTTGAGATTTGAGGTTTCTATGGGAAAATGTTCTATCATTGTCTGACAGATAATGATGCATCATTGAAAAGCTTCGGCAAAATATCTTAAAAGTTAATCTTTGTAAATAGTGACACAGAAATTTCTTTTCTCTTATACAAAACTG